TTATACTACAAAGCTACTGTGATAAAATCAGCATTTTATTCTGGAAAACACACACACACACACACACACACACACACACACAATTTGAGATTAGTGGAGTAGATTAGAAGACACAGACAAAACTCTATACACACTCAGCCAGCTTATCTTTGACAAAGAGGCAAGTTATATTCACTGGAATAAAGACTTTTAATAAGTGGGGCTGGATTAATATCGGAACAACCCAAATGCCCATCAACAAAGCAATGGATAAAAAAAGATGTGGTACTACATAGCCATGAGAAGGATAAAAAAAACTTTTATAGGTAAATGAACAGAACTTGAGATCAATCTCATAAGTGAAATAAATCAGACTCACATTTACAGACATTATATTGTCTCCATGTTGTGAGAAACTGAAATGAAATAAGGTTTAAAATTTACATTGGATACAGTGAAATGGCAAGAAATTGTTCAAAAGGAGAAAGGACCTCACATGGGAGAAAGGGGAAAGGACAGAAAGTGAAAGGGACAAACATGTCAGTTATACTATTAGTGTCTCCTAGCTAGCTCACTAAAAAAGAAAGGTTGTGCTAATATCGATTAGAGAAATTTTGATGTTCCTATCTTGTACTCTGAATAACTATTTTGAAGATATTAATATGCAAAGTATTAACTATTGTTATTCTATTATTTTGTTATGAAATTTTGTTTTATATTTTTCCCATAAAATAAAAAAATTATGCTAGAAAAAGTGGCTTTCCATGTGGACTTTCTGAAACTAGACCCATGTCTATTACTATACACTAAGCTAAAATCAAAGTAGATCAAACATATAAATATTAAAGCAGAAACACTAAATCCACAGGAAGAGAAGGTAGGTAAAAATCTTGAGGACAAAGATTTAGGCAAAGAATCCAAGAACCAAACTCCAATTACATGGGAAATTTTACAAAGAAACAATAAATAGGATCTCATCATATTAAATAGCTTTTCATTTTTTCGCATTTATGTATTTGGTACAAGGTCTCACTACACAGCTCAGACTCACAGCTCAGACTTATAGTGATCCTCCTGTTTTCAGCCTCCCCAGCACTGGGATTATAGGTGTGCGCCACCATGTCCTAACTCCATCACTGGCTTAGCGCATCCTGGAGGTGGGGCCAGCAAAGTATGTGGGACCTGGGATCAGACCCTGGTCCCTGCACTTGCCAAAGCAGGCACTTAGTCTGCTGAGCTATCTCGCCAGCCCTAAAAAGTTTTTACACAGAAAAAAAAAATCACCCATAAAGTCATTAAAAGAAAACCCACAAACTGAGAAAACATCTTTGCCTTCTATTCCTTAGACAAAGGACTAATATTTAGAATATCTAATAAACTGAATAACAACATATCTCCCAAATTTAAAGACCCAGTCCAAAATTGGGGATCTAAGAATACATACTTCTCAGATGAAATAGTACAAATGGGAAAATAAATATATGAAAAAATGCTCAGCACCATTGATTATTACACAGATGCAAATTAAAATAACACCAAGATTCCATCACACTCTGGAAAGAATGACTATTATGAAGAAATCAACTAATAACAACAAATGCTGGTGGGGCTGTGTGGAAAAAGCAACCTTCTCCACTGTTGGAGGACTGGTGCAATTGTGTGCGAATGTGTGTGGAGATTTCTTAAGAAACTAAAAGACGTTCCATTTCACCTAGTTATTCCCCTTCTTGGTATCTTTCCAAAAGAATTAAAAGTATCATACCACAACAATATATTCATACTTAAGTTCATAGCAACACAGTTTGTAATAGCTACATCTTGGAAATAATTCAAATGCCCATCAACAGATGAATGGATAAATATGCGACTGATGGAGACGGGGGTACAGGGCTAGACAGACCTCAGTTCTACACCTTTCTCTGACTCAGTATATCAAATCATCACAGTTTGGAGTATCATCTGTGCCTCAACTCATTCGTTTATAAGATATAAGCCATTAATAAATTTACGTAAGGAACATATGACAGCCTAAAAGAGGCTCAATTGAATAACTGAAAAGAAGTATTTTAAAGATAAAGGAAATTCTTTTAAAGGAAGATGCTCAATGATCTAAAATCTCAGGAATCATAAAATAACCATGGCTATTAAAAGTGAGGAAAAGGAAAGTTCTACCAGGAACAACAACAAAAACAAACTACAAATAAGGTTTGGAAGCTTGAGAATTTTGGGACTTCTGTGATTTAAGGCAGAATTATCAGTTTAACTGAGATCAAAATTTAGGGAAAACAACAATAACAAAAAAAGACTAACTGCGCATCCTGGATGAAGGGAAGAAATAACCTGAGTCTCCAGTTAGTCCCAGCCTAATCTACATTTTTTAAATTTTGTCACATGTATTAGAAATAATGCATAAAAACAATCAGTAAACTTGAAAAAGTAATGCTTAGTGAAAGCCTCCTATCCACTTAGACCTGTTTAGAAGGCTCTTCCTTTCCAATTGTACTCTAATATCCAAAGTATGCTACTGAAATAAAATTTGAAAAGATAAAAAAAAAATTTTGAAAAGATAAAACCATGAAAAAATGATAATTTCTAATCTTGGCCCTTCTTCATTTATTTCTGTCCAAAAAATATCTTTTATATGTCCAAATATAGTTGTAAATATGATACAGGGTTACTTGTAAAGATAATTACTTAGAGCACTCAGAAGATTGAGACAGGAGGATCGCCTGGAGTTCAAGGCCATCCCAGGCTATCTAATAAGATCAAGGCTAGCCTGAACTTCAAATTGAGATACTGTCTCAAAAAATTATCTAAAGCTTCAGTATACTTTAAAAAGTAAGATTAATTCAAAGGTTTAGTCAGAAAAAATATGAAAGCATAAAAAACAAAATATCATCTCCCTGTCCCCAAAAAGAACAAGAATTATCACAAGAAAAAAAATCAAAAATAAAATGAAAATTGTAAATAAATTAACAGATTTATAATAAGATGTGATTAAGAAATATAAAAGAAAAAAGAAATATAAGAGTCTATGATAAAATTATGGTTTTTTACAGGTACTGGATATATGCTTTTCAAGATTTTATATTTTTTAATTCATTAATGATCAGTGAAGTTTTTAGGAAAACATTAATCCATATTCATATTGACTAATGCTAAAGATTCATCATTCCATTCACCACCTCACACAATAATTTAAGTCACAGTTTTTACTTTTTCACTTTAATGTTTTAATTTCCTCAAATCTGGAGTCTTTCACAAATTTTAAGAGGAAAATGAGAAGAAAACTTAGTTTGGAATTTGAGTAAGTATTTAAATATGGAAAACTCAAAATACTATTTTTAACCATCTTTCCTATACTACACACTTGAAATTAGGTCATGGCACACACATCTGACTTAACAAAATAACTACTTTTATTTTTTAGAACTTTTTTCTGCATTAATTTGGGTTCAATATTTTGAATATCAATGTCCTATATTGTAATATGGATTGGTTTCTAGTATTTCAAAGAATCAGATCCTAATACCTAAAAACTTTGAAGACTCTCCTCTCTGAGATACATATCTGATGTAACATACTGTAAGCTCTATAATGCTTTAAAGGATATATCTATACCAAAAGGGCTAGCGTGTTTGGGTCTGTGTGTCTCCCAGGTCTACACATCAAAGGCTTGGTCTTTAACCAGTGGATTTATGGGCAGAGGGCAGAACCGGAAAGCCAAGGAGCTCAGTGGGAGTTTTCTATTCATGCAGAGTGTGCTTTCAGGGGAGCTGAGAGCCAGGTCCCTCTTTCTGCTTTTTCATGTCCCAGCCATGAGGGAGAAGCTCTGAACCTCTGTGTGTTCCTCACAACGATGGCTGTCTTACCCAGGCCCAAAAGCAAAGACGCCAACAGAACACAGACTCAAACCTCAAAAACTATGAGGCAAAATTCACCTTTACATTTTATAAATTGATTATGTTGGGACTTCTGTAACAAAAACAGAAAGCTAACAAACATAGCACAAAAACTAAAGATATATATTTATCTACATAGCAGCAGTTGGTATGGAGTCTTTGGACTCCTTTCAAAAACTCAATAATCCTTTAAAGGTATAAGAGATGAGTGGGAATAATTAATGCAGGAGTCTGTTCAGCAAAGCTATAACACATTCAATTTCAGTGTTTCCTAGTTTACAGCCAAGTTGACATATGAACCCTGAAAGAGGACATGAGTAAAAATTCTCATTTTACAATAAGATTGGAGTCTGGAGACTAAATGTTACCCAGCTTAGCAACAAAAATGTTAATGAAGGTCAGGTCTTCTATTATTTATTACTAATTTCATGTTTTTATCCTTGCAACTGATTCATCTGGTCATGGAACAGTTGTGAAATAATTTATATAAAAATCAACTTAACATACCTACTTTAATCAATAATGCAAAGAAAGATAAATACATTTGAATTATACCCATTTGGACCATCTAAAAGCTTGACTACAGTTCTATACAATAATCATTTTAGAGTATTACAATAAGTGGTAGAATGAGCTAAGATATGCTAAATTGGTAAGCATATTTTAGAAAGTATTAAGGAGAAATATAACAAATTTTTAAATATTGTAAGAATTTTAAGTTCTAATTTATTTAAACTTTCACTTTGTACTTATCATATTTAAACTTACTAATTAAATAAATTCACTTGTCTAGTGAATTTGTTAATGGTCATAACAAAAATTCAGATAAGTGCTGTAATGTGCTTGAACATCACTAATTAGTTAAGAGGTAAATACTTCATTTTTAGTGTATTAGCAAGGTGATAAGCAAAAAAAGCAGTAAGTATTAACTGAAGGTTACCAAAGGTACCAAAAAATGCAATTGGAGATGGAATATATACTTTACAGCATATTGCATTGGAATGTAAAAGACAATTATGACATCTTTAAAGATATGATACTAAAACGGCAGATCTTCTGGCCTCATCCCAAAGAACTATAAAGAAGCACATTAAAATAGTGGTGAAATAAAATGCTCACAGGTTTGTATCTCAGTGCATCTCTGTAGGATCCAAACAAAGCAGCTTGTGCCCTAAGAAAGGCCCTGGCCACTCCATCACCCGTAGCCGTAGACTGCTTCCTCAGTTTATTTTTCAAGGCCGAGACCTGCGTGACAGAGAGGAACAGTTAAATTAACACCTCAGAAATTGGTACAGCGAGGTACGAACCCAATCAGCAGGCAAACCACAGAGTCTGCAGGTCAGCCAAAAATTCATCCTCCTCCCTGATAGCTTATCTTTTTAACTGCTGAGAGCACCTGCTGGTCTGTTAATTGAAATGAAAGCAGGAGAGGATAGGAACGTGCTAATGTAAATTGGTTTATGCTCTCTTTTTTCCCAAGGCCTCTTGACATAAATAAGCTTTAATTATTTTACAGTAAACTGCTTCTGAGCCATTTTTCTGCAGATTTTTAGAAAATTACAACATGTGTCTACTTGTTCTGAAGTGAAGCTGGTTGGCTATCATTCATGTCTGCTATGGAAGGTTATTCGTTATGGCTCTTCTGGGGTTGCTTACTATTTTATTTTACTTTTGGAAGCCTCATTTGCATGTATAATTTTCCAGTCAATAGTTTTGTCATTATTAGGAAAAAAAGGGAGAAGAGACAAAGTTATTGAGGCCATACCATGAGTGGGGAATTATGTTATGCAAATTCTTAGTTTCACAACTGTCTTCTAAGAAAACCACTTATAATTCCATTAATAAATGAAGAAATAGAGGCACAAAAACATGCATTAAAATCAGACACACAAGCTTATATATCTCATTGTTTCTCTTATATGAAAAACTCAATATATATATATATATATATATATATACTGCATAATCGATAACAAGAAAAAAGGAGAAAGACAATAGTTACTGTAATTCAGTATGGACAATGTATCTAAAAGTGTACCTTGATTTAGTATAATTGTCTTAGCTATTTTATGTTTTTATTGCCTATTAGCCTGGTTGTTGATCTGTATATATGATAATTAACCTTGTAAGGACTTATAAATAAATTAACTGGATGTTGGGAAAATAAAAGGAGGTAGAGAGAAAGGGAAAAAAACAAAATTCAGATGCATTATGTACATGTACCAATTTCCTACAATGCATGTAATCATTATATACTGCAAACATGTACTAATCAAAGTTTAAAAATAAATACATGCTTTTATTAAGAGGTAAATCTATGATATAAAGTCAGACTATTCAGTTTCTTCTATCACATGCTGGCTTTGAGTTCAATGTCACTGCCTCATAAACCAGTAAGAATGATAAAGTGCTAATAGGTTTTTTACATCATTTATTTGTTTATATTTGGTATAGGGTCTTGCTACATAGCTCAGATTCATGGTGATCCTCCAGTCTCAGCCTCTCCAGTGCTGGGATTACAGGCGTGCACCACCACACCCAGTTTTGGGGCCGGCACAGCACGCTCAGGTTCAAGGGCTGGCACAGCAGCAGCACCAGGAACTGAACTCAGGTCCTTGAGCTTGTCAAGCAGTCACTGAGACTGCCGAGCTATCTGTGCTGCACAGTACTATTGTTTTAAATCAAAGCAAGTCTTACCTAAACATTTCAAAATGCTGAAAAGCACTTTAATTTATCATAATTTTTCATACATAATCCATCCTACTACATAATCCTACTATACTTGGTACACTTAAAGACACTTACTGTATGTAACTCCCTCATAAATAATAGAGACATGAGAAGTTATGTAACAATTCATTTTCTTAAGAAAAATATCAACTTAGTATACACAGAAAATTATATTTATAAACTGTCTTACATTTTTAAGTGATCTCATCTTTCTGAAATAAATTCATTTTTAAGGGGGGGAATACTCCTATATATCCAATTCATTTCACTTTGGAGTGATCCTCCTAGCTCAGTACTGGGATTAAGGCATGTACCACCACGCCCGGTTTCAGTGGCCAGCATAGTATGCAGTACCAGGGATTTAACCCACGTCCTTGTGTGCTTGCCAGGCAAGTGCTTAGACCACCAAACTATCCCCTGGCCACTCACTTATTTCTTTTACACAACTATAAAACTACACTTTCCATACTTAAAAACACTTACTGTTATGGATAGCCCTCTTAAATACTTAATACAGAAATATTAAGTTATGTAACAATTTTCTTAAGGAAAAAATAATGAGACAAATTCTAATAGGGTGTTCAACAGAACCTGTTTTTTAATCCATACAAATCTACCAAATAATAAAATAGTGTAATTCAGCCTTCACATACATTTATGCAAAAAGAAATATTTTTGTTTCCTTACAGAAGCAGTCCTGACTACACTTGTAGACGATGACTGTAATTGAAGTGTTAAACTCATTAACAACTCAACTTTGAATAATGCTAATGAGAAATTAACACAGCATCAGAGGAAAGACCAGCTCTACAGGTGATAAACCTGCACAGTAGTGACATTTTCAGTGTAAAGTCACAGTTGCTGTGATCTGATCAAAGACACAGACCCCCATTGGGTCCAATTATAACCATAGTTTTGAAAAAATTATTGAGTTATGATGTTCATAATCTATGCAGAAAGGCCTTTGCAATATAGGTCTTCTCCCCATAGCTGTGATCTTTTCAATTTATATCCAAGCTCCATAGATTCTGATAAAAGTTTAGAGCCTGATTCATTTAGCCCACAAAGTGCATAAACCAGCATTCATTTAAAAAAGAGTTTTATTATTAAAACCCAACTTGAATAAATGTACATTTTAAGGTAATCCACATAATTAGACCATAATACAGAAGGATACAAAATAAATGTCTAATGTTTTTGATTTTAGTTTTTAAGTTATTTTTTTCTAAGTTTTAAATGCCCTCAAAGAAAAACGGGAATGAATATCTATACGTATCTGCCTGTCTGTCTGTCTGTCTATCTATCTATCTATCTATCTATCTATCTATCTATCTATCTATCAACACCTGTACAAAAGGAATAGGTATCCAATTTTTAAAAATATTACTAAAAGCAAATAATAGAAGTTTTTGAAAATTTTGCTGTAGAAAATAAAAATAATCATTAAAAATCATGCTTTTTATCTGTGCAAAAAAAAAAAAATCCTGCAACATATACTTCTCATTAAACTGACAACTCAGTTCTGCACAATGAAGGACACAACACTCTTTGCACAATCAAAACACTCAGGCTCACACACAGTGCAGGCGGCAGGTCCACCATGCTTAGCCTTTCCTGTGCCATGCCCCTCACTGCACCACTGCCGCCTGAGCCACCAGGAATACAAATTACACCGTCACAACTGCTTTCTAACCAAATCATACATAAGCAAGCCTTCCTTTCCAAAAGTAGTTGCTCGGTAACAGTTTCGTAGCTCCTTGTGGGTATGCAGAAAATAGAAAAGAAATGGAAAATATTTGTCCTAACATTGTACAAAGAAGGTAGTCATTAGGTACATGAACAAATGAAATATGCCTCACCCCAATTCAGGCTTGCTCTAAGTGTAAAATAAACACTGTATTTAGAAGATTTAGTACAAAAAAACTCATGAGTAATTTTTGTATTGATAACGTTTTGAAACAATACTGTGAGCACAAAGTGAAATACATTATTAAATGTATTTTATGCATTTCTTTTAACTTTTTCATGAGACTACTCGAATGCAAGTTCCACTGAACAGAGCTATTCTCTATAATTATATTATCTAATTTCACACAAACATGGAGTGCTTAAATTTGGCAAATGAGAAGTATGGCTACATTTTTCCTTTGCCTATTTCTACATTATTTCAGTTCACATAGACTACATCAGAAATGTTTTGCCATGATCTATTCTAGGCTACAACTGTCAGTTGATTTCAGGCTGTTCCTGTGTTGAGAGACCAGAAGAATAGCTGAGTTAACTGTTTTTACATGTAAAAATAAATGCCCAAATATAGCCCATAGAATAAAATAACTTACAAATCAGTAAGGAAGCAATCTAACATGAAATGATCGTGCCCACCTCGCCACCTTCCCGGCCCTGGAGCACATTCTCAGCAGCGACCGCTGCCCTCTGTAACGCCCACCAGCGTTCAGCAGTTTGCACCCATAAAGGAAGATGTTCTGAACTTTTTCAATATCTAGCCCAATTCTGATTTCCAGACTTCCACATTAGGTTATAAAATAAATGCACATCTTCCTATAAAATTTTAAAATTTATACTTGCATCTGACTCTGAATTCAGAAAAGCACTTGGAATCTTAGTAGTATGGCCAGCATAACACAATCCCCTTAATACTAAAAAGTGTCCACTGTTTTCTCTTTTCAAGAAAGTAAGCTGGTCCACATCTCTAACTGCTGAAGATTTCTTCAAAACTGACATTGTATTTTATTGTTTCTAGAAAGTCTTGAGACTAGAAGTAATTTTAATCTGGTTAGGTATTATCTAGGCCAAAAAATAAAGTTAAACAGTTAAACCAGAAATAAACATCATTTCACTGCTCTTATCAAGTGATTACATTCTTTTCATGAAAAGAGAATTTGGGCCTCGAAGCAGTCACGTGGAATTATAACCTAGGTTCAGCGCAGTGGGAGTTTGCTGCAGCATGAAAAATGCTACCACATGTTCTCCACTTTTACCCTCTTAGCACCACGTGACTGTGAATAACAAGAGGGACTTACATGAGGACACAGAGCAAACAGGTATAAATTAAGAGTCCGGGCCATGCGCACACTGGCTAAGTCATGAAGCAGCGTTGCGCACCCGGCAAGTCAGAAAAGCACTGTAAACAAAGGGGCTGTTTTTCAGAGCAATACCTGAAATATTTATTTTTATTTTTAGAGTTACAAAGAGAAACATCATGGTAAGAAAGAAAGGAATAAAATAATGGTTCAAAATATTAAGCCAATATTTAGATAACCTATACAACTTATGATAGCCCTACAATGTTTCCTGTGTTAGTACGTGTTTGTGGTGCACAATTACCACATGTGATGTGGGCAGTTGGCCCAGGCACATAACACCTCTTTATCCTGTTTTTGTTCTCAACCCCTCCTGTCCTTCGCTATTCATCTATCTCTTGGTCCTCTTCCCATTTGCAAAATCCCTATTCCACACTTTCCTTCAATTCTCTTTCTAATTCCCTTTCCTCCCCA